AAGTTCGAAAAGGTTGAAGCGAATTACAAGGATGTTCACAGTGGGCTGTGTTTACATTAATCTCGCATCATAAAAGCCGATGTGCAAGTACATTTAACCACTTACATTACTCAGCCGAACGCTCAAGCGCTCTTCTTCGTGACTTCGAAACTAGCCTAGAGCGCCACAGTATTTAGCCTATTTATTGCGAGTTGTTCAAATCGTGGTAATTGGATATACGGTTTTAATGATAATTAAAATATGAAACGGTAATACTAACCGTGGGGGATTTTATCATGATTTACCGTCAAACCGGTAATCGTTACATCCCTATTCAGTGCATCTGTTCTTATAATATTTGCTTGAGAACAAAAATGCAAATTTTCTATTCTGTATTTTTCTGTTGCAGAAACATTTCTGTTGTATTCTGGTTTTATATTAGCAGAGCATTTATTTACAGCATAGTTATTACAACTACAAGGCTTTTTTTATATATATTATAATTGTGCTTCAAATAGTTTATATTTGACATCATATCCATAATAAATATATTTAGTATTTTTTATGATATTGTTATACTTGACTTAATTTAAATGTGACCTTGAAGGAATCCAAAAGTAATCAGTTTACATTAATATTGTGGTGCTTGGATTACGTTACTGAATTCTTTTTTCATTAAGTAATATGTAACTGTAACGGAATATATTTTTAAAGTAACCCTCCCAAGCCTGTTTACACTACGGAGCATGAATTTATAGTTGACAACAGAAGACCTTTTCAGTAGTGTCAAGCAGTAGTGTTAAGACTATTTTTTTTACCACAGAGAGGCGCTACTACAACAGAATATTGCTAACAAATTTGGTATCTGTTATCTACGTTAATTTAATAGGTTTTATTAAAAAGAGACCCTGTAAATTGTCATTTTACATTTCAGACTTTATAAGAGCAGCATAACCTGCTGAATTATAATGACGGATTTAATTGCCTGTATTAACTGCTATGGGGTGCTTCAGCTTCATAACTGACCAGGTGGCATGAAAAGAGTTCCTCTGATCCTGCCTTCGGTTACAGGAATTCTCCGGACACCATCGGTCAAGCAGTGTCTTTCGTTTGTCACTTTGGCGATGACTCTATTGTCACTGACAACCTCAATGTCAACGAGAGCAGGACGCGTCACGTCTGTTAGTGCAAACTTGCAGCTTACGACCTCTGCTTTCAGTGCCCAGAATAAGCCCATTGGTTCAACTCCCGTAAAGCTGCCACCAAGAGAAGGGTCGCGGTTGAGGTCGACCTGACCATTATCGTCTGCTTGGTAGGTGGCCCAAGCCTGGAAAACACGTCCGCTATCATCGGTGATTTTAGAGCGCAGATCCACGCATTGTTGATGATTTAAGCCACTCACGGTCACGTGCACTGGGTCTTCAAAAGAGCACTTATAACTGGGCAAAAGCCTGATACTGACTCCTGAAGAGTAGTGCATTTTGGCAAGAGTGTTTCTAGCAAAAGGGGTAAACACGTACTTCAGCACTGAAAACATGTCGTCTGTGTGACTTGACTTCTGCAGCATATTACGCTGAATACTGCCTTCTAGTGTTCGGAGTATTACAGTCCAAAACCCGGAAGATAATTTCATTAAATAAATATCATAAACTTGCCTTTTTTTTAGTTTACATCGCTTTTAATCCTCCTTTTCCTCTTATGTTTTATTTAGTTTCATTTGTTTTGTTGTTCTTTGTTACCTGCAAAAACAACTAGAAATTATCATAGAAAAGACCATAAGGGATAGTTAAAGACACAAAAAGGCAAATAAGGTACTTAAATCATTCAAATTAATATTTTGCAACCTTCACAAAAAGACTTGTCTCCAATGCTGTCATTGTACTTTTTGGCTTCAGTCAGTAAGATATAAGTCGCTTTTCTTTTAATAAAAATTGGGTTAATTAAAATATTTTATATATTTATATATATTATATATATTAATATACAATATATATATTTCTTATGATCATTTGTGAAGGCAACATTACATTTCCCTTCAACAATAAAGGTTCATTAACTCATGAAAAGTATTGAAAAATCGAGTCAGAAGAGACCAAATGTATCCGTGTAAATGACACAATTACTAAGTAACAATTCGTTTATATTGCAATATGCTAGTTTAAACCAGAATCTGTGTCGGCTCGCATCACCCTCTTCCAAGTTACAGCTGATTTCTCCTGAACCAGCAGACCTCGTAAGCCCCGCCTCTCTCGCGTACAGTTCGCCTTGGTCGTCATGGACACGGTGTGAGAGCTAGGCCGCTGGTGGAGCTCGAAGCTCTTTCCTACAGTAGGAAGGTACTCCGATCTGGCACAGCTTGCTGCTCTCAACCTTCTCCGTAGACGGATGATCAGATCGAAAAGGGCCGTCAGAATCTCCGTATACATTCGATAACAACATAAACCGCGTATACAGTAACCCTAGTATTTCCATCCATTCGACGCAGCTCCATGGTGACCCGATACTGATTTTTAAAGAGGAGGGCATTCACTGGTAAGATTTCTTTTTTTTTTTGCGCTGTGAAGGTTAGTTAGCTGAGCTAACACGGTTAGCCAAACGGAGTCTTCGGGATCTGAATCACTGGTTAGCGAAAAAGCTAACAAATCTTGATAGCCAAATGATTCAGTCTGTGTACTTAAATAGAGAATTAGTAGTTCGGTGAGTTACTGGTTGTTAAAGGACTTTCATATTCACACTATTCCAGCTATAAAGCTCGCTAGTGAAGCCTAATCCAATCAAAAGCACTATTAATTCCAGTAATAGCGAAAGGTCTTTTTAATCAATGACGATGACGATTATTTGTTGTATATGTTAATCAAATCGTCCTTACATTATTATCCGGAGGGTTTCGTGTGGAAATGTGATTGTTAATTAGCCTGTCATAACGCGATTATAAAAGTCGGCAGTCCGGCGATGCGGACAAAGCCTGTTGTTAGCTTCCTATTACCCATAGGCTGCCATTTTACTTTACTAGACTGGTAAATATACATTGTATGTGTATTATTAAACGAATGCTTTTGTTTTAGATGTATTGACGAGTATAAATGTTGTCAGAGTGTTACAGTATTATTTCAGTCAGCAACGGACCTCAAATATCGTTGTAATTAGTATTTTGTACTTGCTTCAACTGGTTTCTTACGTGTAAATTTCCAGAGAGTTTCAGTCATTATATAATTCTAATATACATCCCGTTTTATTTAAACCCGTTGCAAAAACGACATGTCGAAACATTGGACTCCTGCGAGCACAAAGACTGTAAACACCGTGTTCACGTAGCAAGAGGACTTTTAAAAACGTGCGACCAGAAAGTTAGAAACAACCTCAAAGTTGATCATTTTAGGAAACTTAACCGCTGTTATTACTGATGCGTCTTTCTTTTTGTTTGTTTTCATAGGTTAATATTGTTCCGTTCACAGTAGTTTGCGAGCAGGACACACTCTGTTCTCTTTGTTGTACTCGTTCTGCTCTTGGAACAGTTGCACGTGTCGGCGCGTGTGACTTTAAGTCCGGACATACTGAGGCTTATTTTTGTTTTACGTAGAATAACTACATTATCAAGTCCCTCAGCACACCCCACTTCCAATTATCTGGCCTCTTTTTTTTTTCTTTTTTTTTTTTAATAAATAAAAATGTGCTGCTCGTTTTTGCAGTGAGGCAATATAATTACTTGAAAACAAGATTAGTGTCATCTGTCACCAGTAATTGCTTTATAATTTGCTGGTATCTCTAATTTGGAGCCAGCATGCATTGGTTGTTGCCTTGTTTTTGTACAACTTGTAACCCAACACCCCATATTCACTGTCTTTTCCCCAATAGCATATCTTTACAGGAGTTTGCTTGACTTAAATGTGAAGCTTCATGTTGAAACTTGATCAGGAGATTGTTTCAATGTGATATCAACTTCCCTTCACAAACACTTGTTGGTTCCCTATGGATGGCCACTTCTTCCTCATTGCCTTCTGTGTGCAAAGGTGTAGATAAAGGAACTGTGTGAGCCATAATATGCTTAAAAGGCTTTCTTTACTGTCATGCAGCCTGGACTCGTTGTGCCAGATTGAACCTCGGTATTTCCAGCTATGTATGTCTTATACATGGCTGGAAATACCGAGGTTCAATCTGGCACAACGAGTCCAGGCTGCATGACAGTAAAGAAAGCCTTTCTTTCTGCTTTTTTGGTCTTCCATCTCTTACTAAACTCCCAACAGCTGGAAGGGCTTTGCATTTGCATATTTCTCACTCAAACCCTTTTACGTTTGAACCTGAAGGCAGCTCTGGTATGATAAAGCAGGAACCGCAGTGCCACGTCTCTTTTGGCATCTGGCCTGTTTTGTCATTTTACGTCAAAGAAATGTGACTAGTGTGATAAGATTATGGCTTTCTAATATGGTAAAAAAAATGGTAAAGAACTGCTTTTAAATACAAATCAGAACTCTTAAAGGGATAGTTCACCCAAAAAAAAAACTTATCATCAGGTACTCACCATCATGTTGTTCAAAACCAATAAGATGTTGTTCAAAACGCATATGAAGATATTGCTGTCTCTCCACTGAAAGTCCATTCCACCAAAACTTTGATGTTTCAAAAAGTTCAGAAAGTGATTGTAAAACAAATTCAAATGAATCAAGATGTTTAATCCAAATCCAACGTAAAATGTAGACTTGGATTAAACTGCTTGATTCATAGTATAGGGGTGGAACGGTTCAAGTTACTCACGGTTTGTATCACGGTTTCTGTACGGTTCGGTATATGCTATGTTTAGAGAGAAAAAGGACTATATTGTCAAATAAAAATAAAGAAAAGAACAAATAATCTAATTACATGCAACAGAACAAATAAATACAACCGATACAAATAAAATAAACAGTGCTTTTCAGGTTTTTAGGTAGGTCTAACAGTATTTAGGTACAGAAATTGAATAAAGTAATCAAATGTAAAATAACATTGTATATTTGACTGTATAAATTAAAGATTAATCCTAATTAAAGTTGCAAAAACTATTCAATCAAGAGCAGTGAGTAGTTTCCTTGTCTTTTGTTGTTTGATTAACATTAAGAAAGTGCTGTCACTTTAAGACAGTTCATGGATCCGGTACACTGATACTGTACGTTCAACTGACCATGTCTGCTAGGAAACTCACCAAGACAGGCATTTTGACATAATTTTTGTGTGAATTTGTCCTTTTCAAGCACGATTTGAAAACGAACTCAATATTTGCGCGCGTTCTGAGACGCGGGTTTGGCGCTTCAGAAGAGCGCGCACACAAATCTTCTCACGGCACGCGCGAGTTCTCGTTCGCGTCTTCTGGCTCTTTAATATTTAAACTGGCAAGGCTTAAATTAGTTTAGTTTAAACGTGTGCTGTTCAGGTTTCACATGCGTGCGTGTGCTATCAACACCCGGGTGATGACGGCATCAATGACTGGTCATATTCCAGCATACTGCACTCGCATTGAACAAAGAGTGACAGCTTTGTCCACGGTTTTTTTTTTTTCTCATCGTTATTGTTGTTATGTATTGGGAAGCCAGAATGCGTATCCATCGACAGAAACATATATTAGCCAAACTGTTTTGTGTTATTTTTAACAAACCATTTTACAGATGCGTTGTCATTTTTAAGGTGAACCGCGGTGCAAGTGCATGCCGAACCGTGGGTGGAGAACCGTATGGTTCGATTTTTTACCGAGAACCGTTCCACCCCTAATTCATAGGGATTTATTTATAATCTCTTTTTGAAGTGTCAAAGTTGTGTATAATGCTGGATTTTCAATGTAGAAACAGAAATCTCTTAGCTTTTTATTAAAATATCTTCATCTGTGTTTTGAATATTAACTAAAGTCTTATTGTTTTTGGAACAACATAAGGGTGAGTAAATGGTGACTATTTTCATTTTTGGGTGAACTAGACCTTTACATCCACATTGGAGTTGTTTGGTGCACTTTATAAAGGCTTGGTTCTTGAACAGCTTGGGGTGTGGTTATTTATCTCTATTTGAAAATATTTTCAAGTGGGTGTTGTTGAATATTTGTGTGACATGTCAGTCAGATGCGCTTACTCGGGACGCCATCTGTACAACACCTTAGTCACTTATACCGAATCCAGACTGAATTGCAATTTTCCCATTCTGGGATCATGTTGGCACTAGTCAGTTTGTTGCAGAATGTTCTTCTGTGCCAGTCTGTTTGGTAGATGAGGCAGCAGGCGAGCTCTGCTCTGCCAGTGGGATGTGCGTCACACTCCTTGTGCTCCTTGGGCACCCTAGTGCTTCTCTCGAGTGAGGAGGGGAAAGGTGTGGCGGCAGTGGCAGATTGGCCTCATGTGGGACCGGTAGCTGCACCCTCAGCATCCTGTTTGTTTCTGGGACTCGTGCGCCCCATGTTCTTGAGCTTAATCTGCCTTCGGCACACACATACGTATCTTGTTTTGGAGGAATGTTGACAAATGGCTTGTGCTTACTTAGCAGCACCGTTGCACCTGCTCTCATTTGTGTAATGGTAACTAATAACTTGTTTTTTCCCTGA